ATATGATAGTGGTGGCGGTGGTGGTGTGCCGTGGAGTCAGTTCTGACTCATAGCGACCCTGTATAAGGTTTACAAGGCTGTAAATCTTTACAGGAGTAGAAAGCCTCATGTTTCTCCCATGGAACAACTGGTAGTTTCAAACTGCTGACCTTGAGGTTAATAGCCCATCTTGTAATGACTACACACTGTGGATTAATGCGCAGGACTGCAAGGTTAGTTTGAACCACAAGGTTGGTGGTTCAAGCTCACTAGTCACCCCTCAGAAACCCTATACAGGGTTGCTATGAGTTAGAATCAACTCAACGGCATTTAACATGTGGTGTTCCTATGTGTGAAAAGCTGATTTTTTGGAAACAGATCTCCATGCTTTTATTCCAAGATGCCTCTGGATGGACGCAAACTTACGACCTGGTTAGCAGCCAAATGCATTAACAGTTTACACCACCCAGAGATTCTCACAAACCTATTAGAACAGCTAGCATAAAAAACAGTGACTATACTAAATGTGAAGATTCAGCGAAAACAGCATCTTTCATACATCACTGGTGGGAATGTAAAATGGTACAGCCACTTTGGAAAATAGCTTGACAGTTTCTTAAAAACTGAACGTACACTTACCATATGATCCAGCAATAACACGCCTGGGCATTTATCCCAGAGAAATGAAAACTTATGTTCGATGAAAGCCTGTACATGATTGTTCATAGTGGCTTTATTTGCAATGGTAAAAAAAAAAAAAAAAGGTGGGGAAAATGTCCAACAGTAGGTGAGTGGTTACACTGCTCTATGCAAACCATAGACTACTGTGGCTGTGCCAATATTTCAATCCCAACTAACAGTGATCCTAAGGACAGTAAAACAGTCCCAGAGAGTCTCCTAGGCTGAATTCTTTTCAGAAACAGATTGCAAGGTCTTTTCTCCATGAGCAGCTGGTGGTTTTTAGCCACTGACCACATGGTTAGCAGCTGAGTGCTTAACAGTTGTGTCACCAGGGCTCCTTCATGGGCTACTGCTCAGCAATGGAAGGGAAGACTTTAATATTATCCATTCAACCTGGCTGTATCGCAAAAGGACATTATGCTGAGTGAAAACCCCAATCTCAAAAGGTCACATAATGTATGATTCCATTTATGTAAAATTCTCAAAATAAAATTCTAGAAATGGGGAACAAATGAGTGCTTGCCAGGGGTTAGAGATGGTGGTGGGTGAGGGTCATGGATATGATTATAAAAAGGTAGCACAGGGCAGATCTTTGTGGTGACAGAACAGTTCTGTAACATGAATGTTCCATGAACCTACACATGTAGTCAAATGACGTAGGACTCACCACACACACATTGTACCAAAGTCAATTGCTAGTTTTGATGGTGTAGAATGGTGCTGTGGGTTAAATGCACTGGACTGCAGAGTCGGTTTGAACTGCAATGTTGGTGGTTCAAGCTCACCAGCTGCTCCTCAGAAACCTTACACAGGGTTGCTATGTGTCGGAACCGATTCAATGGCTCTTAACAACAACAGTATCAACAAGGCATAATAATGAGAGGAGCCGGGTGAAGGGTACACAGAGCTTCTTTGCTATCTTTGTAATTTTTTTGTGCATCTTTGTTGTTGTTGTTATTAGGTGCCATCGAGTCAGTACCGACTCAGAGTGACCTTATGCCCAGCAGAATGAAACACTGACCGATCCTGGGTCAACCTCACTACTGTTGGCAAGCTTGAGTCCATTGATGCTGCCCACTTGGCCAATCCATCTCGTTGGGGGTCTTCCTCTTTTTCTCTGACCCTCCACCTTACCAAACATGTATCTTCTCCAGCAACTGGTCCCTCCTGACAATATGTTCAAAGTATGAGAGATGAAGTTTGGCCATCTTGGCCTCCAGGGAGCACTCTGGCTGCACTTCTTCCAAAACAGATCTATTGGTTCTTTTGGCAGCCCATGGCACTTTCAATTTCCTCCTCCAACACCCTTATTTTAAAATAAAAAGTTAGAGACCACTATGAAAAATGTCTTCTCCAATCAGTGTCTCTCAGTAAGTGCCAAGAACTTTACAAGTGTTAATATGTGTATTCTTCCACTCAGGAATTCTGTCTCTCTCAAGGATTTTAGTAGTCTTAGGAAATAATTCAGAGATGCACATACTTGTATATGTTTGTAGAGTTAAGAAATTCACTGTAGTTCACAAGATAATCTAAATGTTCAGCTATAACAGAAGAGTTAAATACATTATGGTCCACCATATGACAGGATATTTATGCAGCTACTAAAAGCATGCATTTGAAGAACATTTAATTATATGGAAATATTCTTGCAATTCTGTTAAGTAAATTAAAAAGGCCATAAAAGTATGTCCGTACAGTGTAATTTCTTTCAATTTTATTTAAAACACACAAAATGCATATAAAAGAGAGGAAGAAAATGCACTAAAATATAAATGATGATGCTATTAGGAATAATGATTTTTATTTCTTAAATAAACATGTATTTTTATAATCAGAAAAATAAATATCATATCCATAAACTCTAGTATGGAAGGAAAAAGGAAGAATATGTTTAGTAATATAGTTAGGACTCAAGGCCCAGAATCAGTATAGGAACGTCCCAGTTTATAATGAAAACCTCTTTCTTAATAAAAATAGGGTCTGCAAGTAAGACAATTTAGAGTTTAAAAATTTTAAGACTCAGGTGTTGGTGTTATTTAATGGGGACTAAGAGAAGTGGGGGAGGAGACATACGTTTTCCCAATGCCTGTTCTTTAGGAGTGCCACAGACATATAGAAACAACTTTTTTAGATTGGGGAAAGAGAGGGCAGTTTTTACAAGTATGTGCTCAAGTTCTTACCGGCAGGGGTGGCCTTCTGTATCCTCAGGGGCTAATCTTCATGGCTATGACTCTTCTTGTTTTTAAGTGCCTCTAGTTTGATTTATGAGTCCTGGTGTGGCACTGTGGGTTAATGAGCTAGACTGCAAAGCCGTTTGAACTGCAAGGTTGGTGGTTCAAGCTCACCAGCTGCTTCTTGGAAACCCTATACAGGGTCGCTGTGGAATCGACTTGACAGCACTTGACAACAAGTTTGATTTACAGTGACCAGATAGGGCAGAGTGGAATGGACCCATAGAGTTTTCTAACCTTCAGTCTACGGGAGCTGAGAGTAGACTTTTTTCCCATGTGGTACGGCTGGTGGGTTTGACTGGCTGACATTTAGCAGCTGAGAGCTTAACCACTGCATCACTAGGACTCATTTCATGGCTCCCTTTAAATAAAAACCCAACCCAACTCACGTCCACTAAGTTGACTCGGACTCATAGTGACCCATGAGGACAGGACAGAACTACTCCTTTAGGTTTCTGCTACTGTAATTCTTTCCAGGAGCAGACTGCCTCACACTTCTCCTGAGGAGCAGCTAGTGTGCCCGAACTGCTGACCTTTTGGTTATCAGTCCACTGGGTAACCCACTATGCCACCATGGCTCTTCATAACTCCTTTAGCCCAGGGTAATTCTCTGGAACAAAAGAGCTGTGTGCTATTTGCAGCCAATACTCACAGCAAATTACTTTTGCTGGGGGACACATACACTGACCAGTAGAGGGGATCTGGGTGGGATGGAGCATTGAAAACATTTACTAACAGCTAACTACTATTCCTAATATTATGGTGAACAATCTTGTACCGAAATTTTTAGGTGTCTGATTATATCCTAGGAAAAATTCCTAGAAGTAATTTGCTGCTGTTGCTGTGAAGTCATTTCAACTCAGAGGGACCCTATGGGACAGAGGAGATTTGACCCACACAGAGGGTTGCCTTGTCTGACATACAGGATGATATAGGAGCATCTCATCAAGTCTTTTCTCCTATGGAGTAGCTAGTGGGTTTAAACCAACCTTTTGGTTAGCAGCCAAGTGCTTAACCAGGGGTCCTTAGAAATGGTTTAAGCTAAGGATATAAGAAGCCATAAATGTTTACTGAGTGGCTGGCTGGCTGAATCAACACAGCAAGAGAAGGAATAGGTGAGAGGAGACATTGGGAGGTAGAAGGGATAAAGGAGGTACTTAGAGAGCAAGATCAAATGGATCTGTGTCTAAAGTTAGTTGTAAGACTGGTTTTCTGAGGAGAAGGTGCCCTCTCACCTTGGTGATAGGTGCAGCATGGGCCTGGTACTCGTTGAATTCTTTCTGCAAAGGCAGAGGGTACTTCATTGCACGAATGGTTCCCACTGAGGTGCCCACGAACATCATGCGCCCAGAATGTGAGATGATGATGGCTGTGTAGATGACGTCAAATGCGGACACCTCTCGAAGGATCTGGGACACAGATAGCTTTGTTCAGTGTGTGTGTGTGGAGGTGGACTGATCTGTGTTCCCAGCTCATTCTCTTCCTCTCCTCTCACAGCAATGAAGACAAGGTCTATTGTTTAAAAACATTTTCTCTATAGAAGGCAAAAACTATACATTTCTTGGTTGCTTGACTGATGATTAACCAGTTCCATTAATTAGAAACAATACTAATAACCAAATTTATTGCTAGTGACCCTATAGCACAGGGTATCTGAGGCTGTAGATAGATCTATAGGGAAGCAGACTGCCTCATTTTCCCCCCACCGAATGGCTGGTGTGTTTGAACTGCTGACCTTTTGGCTTAATCATTACACCACCAGGACTTCATATACTAATAAAAGTAAATCTTTATATACGCCAAACACTGATCTACATCTTTTACGTGTTGCAACTCGTTCAGTTCTCATGATCCATGGAGGTAGCTGCTGTTTTCCTCATTTTAAAGACAATGAGCTAGTGTCACAGAGATGTTAAGTCACTTGCTCAAATTCACACAACTAAGTGGCAGCTTGTCTTCATACTCTGGCTCTTACTGGTGTGCTCCAGTGCATTCTGAACTAAGAATATGCTGTCAGTTAATCAGACATTTGTTCAGCAAACATTTATTAATGTCCATTATGTAAGCAGAAGCTTTGCTGGTGCACTGGCTAAGCATTCCACTGCTAATGACAAGATTGGTCGTTTGAACTCACCAGTCACTCCAAAGAAGAAACATGTAGCAGCCTGCGTCCATAAAGATTTACAGCCTTGGAAACCCTATGGGTTTCACAGGCTCACTGTGAGTCAGAATCAACCGGATGGCAAAGGGTTTGTCATTGGTTTGATTTATTACATAAACAAGACTATACTCATCCATCCATCCATCCAGTTACCCATTCACCAAACATTTACTGAATCTTACTGTGGGCCACACTATGCGCTAACTAGTAAGGGATACCCAGAGGAGTATAACATGGCCCTGCCCTAAAGGAGCTTTATTTGAGTTGCAGAGCATTTTATAAAAGCCAAAGAATGAGGACCAGGGTGTGTCCCAACCATGGGGAACCCCACCTTAGGTCAGTTTGCTGGAGTGGTAGCTCTGTACTTCCCCAGGAACTAACACAGTAAGAGTGATACAATGATGGAAAGCCAGTACTGATCCCTTGTCTTTGGTTCCCGGAGTAAGGCAAAAACCATATTTATCCACCGAGGCATCCGTATGAAGGGTATCTGCTGAGCTTTTATCTTGTACATCAACTATTTGGAACCAAATGCGGCAATTCCAGTTTCAGATTTGAGTGGATTTCAAAGAAATACAGTGGCAAGCCTAGATTATAGCAAAAGCCAAACCAAATCCACAGCTGTAGAATCAATTTTGACTCATACAACCCTGTAGGTTACAGTAGACTGACCCTATAGAGCTTCCAAGGGTGTACATTTTCATGAAATCAGACTGCAACATCTTTCTCCTGTGGAGTGGCTGGTGGGCTCAAATCCCCAACCTTGTGATTACAGCTGGGCAACAGCAGATGAAAGCAAAATGTCATTAAAAGACAGGAAAGAAAGAAAAGACCAAAACACATGTTAAGAAGAGACTTTGAAACGCTTGAGAATAGAGAAGCTAAAGTAATTCAAAGGGCAGTTCAAGAAGACAAAGTTAAGCATTGTAATGAAATATGCAAAGACCTGGAGTTAGGAAACCAAAAGGGAAAAACCATGCTCAGCATTTCTTCAGCTGAAAGAATTGCAAATCTTGACTTGCAATACTGAAGGATTCTATTGGAAAAATATTGAACGATACAAGAAGCATCATAAGAGGAAGGAAGAAATATAGAGTCACTGTATCAAAAAGAATTGGTTGATGCTCAACCATATCATGAGATACCATAATGTCAAGAACCAGGTCATAATAGCTTGGTTTTGAACAGAATTATATTGAAGGAAGAAGTACAAGCTGTATGAAGATACTGGTGAAAAGCAAGGCTTCAGGAATTGATGGAGTACAAATTGAAATCTTTCAACAACCTGATGCAGTGCTGGAGGTGCTCACTCATCTATGCCATGAAATTTGGAAGACAACTAACTACCTGACCAACCGATCAGAAAAGCTTGATATGTGTACTCATTCCAAAGAAAGGTAACCAATGAATGTGGAAATCATTAGACAGTATCAATGATACCACATGCAAGCAAAATTTTGCTAAAGATAATTAAAAAACAGGTCAGGGAACTTCCAGAAATTCAAGCAGGATTCAGCAGAAGATGTGGAACTAGGGATACCACTGCCGATGAAAGCAGAGAATACCAGAAAGATGCTTACTTGTGCTTTACTGTAAAGGTATTTGACTGTGTGGATCATAACAAACTATGGCTAAAATTGTAAAGAATGGGTATTCCAGAATTGTGCTCATGAGGAACTTGTATATATCAAGAGACTGTTGTTAAAACAGAATAAGGGGATACTAAAAGGGTTAAAATAAAGGTGTGCACCAAGGTTGTGCTCTTTCACTATGCTTTTCAATGGGTATGCTGAGCAAATAATCAGAGAAGTATTAACATCCATAATGCTATATGAAGAAGATTGGAGGAAAACTCAAAAAACAAGCTTGCTTGCTGGAAGTGAAGAGGACTTAAATACTTACTGATGAATATCAAATCATATGGATATCACCAAAATGTAAAGAAAACAAAAATCCTAACAACTGGACCAAAAAATAAATCCTGATAAATGGAGAAAAGACTGAAGTTGCCCAATTTGACTTGAATCCACAATCAACACTTGTGGGAAGCAGCAATCAAGAAATCAAACAACTGATTGCATTAGGCAAATCTGCTGCAACAGACCTTTTTAAAGTGTTAAAGAGCAAAGATGTCACTTCTAGGACTAAGGTACGCCTATCCAAGCCATGGTATTTTCAATCACCACATGCAAATGTGAAAGTTGGACAATGAATAAGGAAGACCATAGAAGAATCAATGCATTTGAATTATGGTGTTGGTGAAGAATACTGAAATTACCAGGGACTGCCAAAAGAACAAACAGGTCTGTCTTAGATGAAGTATAGCCAGAATGCTCCTTAGAAGGGAGGATGGACATGTTGTCAAGAGGGGTCAGTCTCTGGAGAAGGACATCCTGCTTGGTAAAGTGGGGGGCCAGCAAAAAAGAGGAAAACTCGCAACGAGATGGATTGGCACAGTGGCAGTAACAATGGGCTCAAACATACAGTTGTAAAGATAGTGCTGGGTCATGCAATGTTTCATTCTGTTGTGCACAGGTTTGCTAGGAGTCAGAACTAACCGATAGCACCTAATAACAACAATAGTAATTCTATTCTAGCTCAGGAAAATAGGTGTAGACAAAAGGGTGAAGAATAGTTTAGTGAGTCACTAACCTCCATGCCTACAGGTTGGAAGAGAAGTTGCAGAGAGTAAGCAAATGGAAATGGAAAAAGGTCCTATAGTTTAACTCAGTCAGGTAGGACACTGGGTAGGAAATTCAGGAAGTGACAATAAACCAAATGGTATGTGGATGCAGGTGCCACACCAAAAAGAAGGAAGCCTGTTCTCAGTGGCCCACTTCCCATGTATATTTTCTGTTGTAAGCATGTTCAGAGCAGCAGCCTAGAGGCAATGGCAGGGACAGACTCACCGAAGAATCTGCAATCTCCTTGAGGGTCTGGTCTGATCCAACAGCAAAGATAATTTTGGCATCAGGGGAGATGTTAACACAGTTATAGCTGCAGGACTTGAGCACACATTCTGTTTCTCTTTTTCCTGTGGTCAGATTCCACTCATATACAGCGCCATCTGTGCCACCAGAAATCAGCCTGCTGTCATCTGCATTCCAAACAATGGAACGAATCTGCAAGGCATGATGGCATACCCAGTTAGAGTGGGTATGTGAGCACGTGTGTGTGTATACACACATACATACATAGAGACATGGAAAATGTGGTCAGTTTGTCAGATGTTGCATTAGACTGAGGTAGAATGTCCTTTCATGATAACATGCTCTTCAGCAAACATTAAACATAGTTCCTTGGGAATATTTATAGTCTGTTTTCCAAGATGCTTATAAAATACTGAAGATGAAGCATTTATAGTAGTTGTTCACTTATGAACATAGAAACCAAGACATAATAGCTTCAGTAATGGTTCACCTAATCAATTATTGTAATTTTTAAACATTAAAAATATTTCAAAATGATTATGAGTTCACATGAAATTATCAACACAGTGCAGAGAGACAGGACACTTCTAGAATGGCAGAATAGAGAGTACAGCTGACCCGATCTTCAACAAACAAGAGTTACTTGGTGTCTGAGTTATCTAGGGCTGCCAAAACAGAAATACCACAAGTGGACAGGTTTAACAAACAAAGGTTTATTCTCTTACAGTTAGTCCAATGCCATCGTGTTGATTCCGACTCATCATGACCCTGTAAAAAGGTTTCTGAGACTGTAAATCTTTATGGGAGTAGAAAGCCTCATCTTTCTCCTTCGAAGCAGCTGGTGGGTTTGAACAATTGACCTTGCAGTTAGCAGTCATGCATATCCTACAGTAGTACCACCAGCGCTCCTTTCTCACAGTTTAGAAGGCAAGAAATCTGAATTTAGAGTGCTGGCTCTAAGAGAAGGCTTTCTCTATGTCAGTTCTAGAGGAAGGGCCTTGTTTTCTTTGAATATCTGTGGGCTCGGTGTTCCTTGGAAATGTGTATGTGTTTTGGTATCCATCTTCCCCTGGGTCTAGGAGATTCACAGCACAGGGATCCTGGCTCCAAAGGACAAACTTGGATCCTGGCTCTTCTTTCTGGGTGGTACTGTTGTTGTTGTTGTTAAGTGTAGTCAAGTTGCTCCTGACCCATAACCATAGCGACTCTGTATAGGGTTTCCAAGGAGCAAATGGTGACTTTGAACCTGCAACCTTGTGGTTCAATTTGACTTTGGAGTTCAACGCATTAGCCCACAGCATCACACCAGGACTTGGGGGTACTAAAGGGTCTCTACTTCTCTGCTCACATGTCCCCCTTTTACCTCTTGTAAGAGTGTGGCAGGCCACACACCAAGAGAACTCCTCTTACTCTGGATCAGGGCTATGACTCGAGTAAGGGTGTTGTAGCCCACGCTAATCCCCTTACAACTGATTGGCTGATCACATCAGATGACATCACATGGGATGACTACATCATGACATAGCTGCCAAGCCACTGAGAATCATGGGCTAGACAAGTAGACACATATTTTTTGGGAACATAATGTAATCTATGATGACAACTGGTAAAAATTATAAAAACAATCGTAAAGTATCTGGAAATTGTTCTAAGGGCATAAAGCAGATGGAGAAACAGTCATTCAAGAAAATCTACTCCATCTCATTAAGAAGAGTCTATAGTATTTGAGTCATGATTTTCTTCTTTACTCTTTCACCTCTATAAACGTTACTTCTGTGTGCTGTATTCCAGGCCAGGTGTGGCTGAGAAGATAGGGAATTCCTAGCCTCCCAGTTTCCAGTCTTGGGCTATGGTTTGACCACAAGAGGGGCAGGCTGCTGGCATTTCTCTTCATTACTTTAGCCCCATGCTGTAAAAGTTCTATTCCAAGCAGGTGTCGTCAAGAGAATACGGCCTTATTACTCTACCTAATTCCTACACAGAGGGTAGGACTCTACTCCAAGCAAAGTAGGCCAAGACTACGGGTGCTCTGGTTGCCCCTGCTTCTACATATCCTTGCCCATAAAGCTCACTTACAAAGTAAGAATTATTAGACCTGAAAAAGCAGGTCCCTGAAAATCCTATGGTGCACAGTTCTACTTTGATACACCTGGGGTCACACCATGAGTTGGAGTAGCCTCAAGTGCAACTTATTACCCTGGTTGGTTCCCAACTCCAATACAGTGGTACAAAGGCTCTGCCCAAGGGAAAAAAATCAGGCTGTTAAAACAGAGGTCTATAGCTCTGCCTGAGAGATAAACTTCATCTGGAACAGTGTCTGAGTTATCAAGCGCTGCTATAACAGAAATACCTTAAGTGGATGGTTTCAACACACACAATATATTCTCTCAGTATAGGTTTGTGTTGTTGCTGTTGTTAGGTGCCATCGAGTCAGTATTGACTCATAGTGACCCTGTGAGTAACAGAACAAAACACTGCCCTGTCCTGTGCCAACCTCACAATCGTTGCCATGCCTGAACCCATTGCGGCCGCCACTGTGCCAATCTACTTCACTGGAGGTCCTCCTCTCTTTCTCTGACCCTCCACTTGACCAAACATTATATCCTTCTCCAGAGATTGGTCCTTCCTGACAATATGTCCTAAGTATGAGAGACAAAGTCTGCCTAGCAGTCTGAATTCAGAGTACTGACTCTGGGGAAAGGTCCTTGTCTCTTTTCAGCCTCACAGACCACAAGGCCAGTTTGAATCACTAGTTCGGTGGTTCAAATCTGCTCCTTGGAAACCCTATACAGGGTCACTATAGGTCATGACTGACTTGATGGCACGTTACAAGAACAAGGCCCAGCATTATTTGGAGATCTCCATGTGTCTTACATCAATGTTTGGATCTAGAAGCTTCACAGTGCAGGGACACTAGGTCCAAATAACACACTACACTACCAGTTCTTTTTTCTTGGTGGTCCCTCCTTGTCTGCTCACTTCTGCAGGCCACAGCGGGAACCTCCATTACCTTGTTTCGTTCGGGGTTGTGATGGGATTAAGGGTTTTGCAGTATACCCTTAATTCTCTTAGTGATTTATTGTGTTAGATCACATTATAGAGGATCATCACATAATATGTCATATTACATCATTACATAACTACCAAACCACCGAGAATCATGGCTCAGCCAGACTGACACATATTTTGTGAGGGACACAATTCATTCCATGACAGAATATGGAGAACTTCACACTCTGGGTGTTGTCTAAAACAGTGGAAATATTGGTGGAGAGAAATTAAGAGATGATGGTGGCTCTATGGATACAAGCACAATGGCTGAGTTTATAACTAATTGATATTAACTTCTTGAGTCTGTCTTGGTAACTTGTGTCTTTCTAGGATTCTGTCATATTATTATGATATGTTTTTATTTATCTCTTGTTGTTCCTGTTAAGTGTTATTGAACTGGTTTTGATTCATGTTGTTATTGTTGTTAGGTGCCATAGAGTCAATATTGACTCACAGCAACCCTATGCACAACAGAACAAAATACTGCCTGGTTCTGTGTCATATTCACAATCATTGCTATGCCTGACCCTATTGCTGCTGCCGCTGTGTCAATTCACCTCACTGGGGGTCTTCCTCTTT